GTCTTGGGCTCTCTTGGAGCGCTCTTGGGCCGTCGTGGGCGCTTCTTGGGCCGTCTTGGGCCGTCTTGGGCGCCGTCTTGGACGCTTCTTGGGCTGTCTTAGGCGCCTAAGACGGCCCAAGAAGCGCCCAAAAAGCGTTCTCCGATGATGTCTCGAGCGAAACGCTGTTTTTAAGCCCCGAAGGCCGTCCTACTCGATAAAAAACGAGGCGGGAGGGCAATTAGATCCGGGACTGGCGATGCCACACCCCTCGAACTCCCCCAAGTCCAGTTTCTTCCGACTAACGGGCCGCACGCTAACGCGCGCTTTCCGTCACCTGGGCCAGCACGGAAACAGAAAGAGCGCTTCAGAAACAGAAACCGAAATTACTCACACCACCGTTCGTACTGGGAGCCTTGGCGTTGAGAGCTTGTTACGTCACCCCTCGCTCTTGGGAGCCTTGGTGTTCAGAGATTGTTGCGATGCCGCCCGTTCCTGAGCCTTGGCTGGGCCTTGGTGTCAGGAACTTGTTACGTCACCGCTCTCTGCTGGGAGCCTTGGTCTGATCAGCTTGTTTACGTCACCGTTCGCTCTTGGGAGCCTTGGTGTGAAGAGCTTTTTGCGTTACCGATCGCTCTCTGTTTGGCGTCTCGTGGCCTTATTGGGAGTCCTATTGGGGCCCTTGTGGGGCCCTTTGGGAGGCCTCTTGGGAACCTCTTGGGGGCCTCTTGGGGCTTCTTCGGGGGCTCTGGGGGCCTCCTGGGAGCGTCTTGGGGCGACAGGCTAGACTTTTCGGTTCGTGGTCCCCCTCTTGGGGCCGTCTTGGGGCCCTCTTGGGCCGTCTTGGGCGCCTCTGGGGCTGTCTTGGCGCCCTCTTGGGCCGTTTTGGGGGCCTCTTGGGAGCCTCTGGGGCCGTCTTGGGGCGGTCTTGGGGGCCTCTGGGGCCGTCTTCAACGCCGTGGAAGCCGAAAAGCCGTGTATGCAAAAAATGTACGTTTCCCCATAGGAAATTCATGATTTTCGCCTCCCGGTGGCTTCGTGGGACGCCTCGGGCCTCTTGGTGCTTTTGGGGGGCTGTGGGGACCTCCCGGGAGCGTCTTGGGGCGATAGGCTAGACTTTTCCGTTCGTGGTCCCCCTCTTGGGGCCGTCTTGGGGCCCTCTGCGGCCGTCTTGGGCGCCTCTGGGGCCGTCTTGGGGCCCTCTTGGGCCGTTTTGGGGGCCTTTTAGGAGCCTCTTGGGCCGTCTTGGGGCGGTCTTGGGGGCGTCTTGGGCCGTCGTCAACGCCGTGAAAGGCGACAAGCCGCATATGCTAAAAATACACGTTTTCCTTTGGAAAATCGATGATTTCGGCCTCTTAGGGCCCTCTTGGGACGCCCCTTGGGCGCCTCTTGCGGGCCTCTTGGGGGCCTCTTGGGCCGCCTTGGGCGGTCTTGGGCTCCCTTGGAGCGCTCTTGGGCCGTCTTGGCGGGGAATCCGAAAAACATGCAAAAACCCTAAGGAAAACCCCCAAGACGATCATTAACACACAAATGTGCCCCCTACGCCCCTCCCCTGGACCCTTGAGCCGCTTCACTCCAAAAATACAAAAAAGAACGGGCCATGGAAAGCGCCCGCGAGCCGCTACATTCCAAAAATACGCAGGACACGGCGCCCTGGCGGCCATTAACGCCCAAACGCGCCTCCCTCGCCGCTCCTAGAGGGCTTCGCCCTACACTGGAACGTCATCACTCGTACCTCGCTCTTTCCGTTATCTGGGCCGGCACGGAAACGGCAGGAGCGGACCAGGAACTTGCCCGAGATGGCTCACGGCACCCTTCGCTCTTGGCAGCCTTTGGTGGTAAGAGCTTGTTACGTTACCGCTCGCTCTTAGGAGCCATGGTGTTCAGAGATGTTTACGTTGCCGCTCGCTCTGGGGAGCCGTGGTGTTCAGAGATGTTTACGTTGCCGCCCGCTCTTGGGAGCCTTGGTGTCACCGTTCGCTCTTGGGAGCCTGGGTGTCACGAGCTTGTCACGTCACAGCCGAAGAGGGCCCCAAGGGACCCCCAAGGCTATCCCTGAGAAGCCTGGTGCAGCCCTGCGAGAACCCGGCGAATTCTGCAAGTTCCTGAAAAATCTGTCTGGGGGGGGTTGGCGTCTCTGGGGCTTGTTGGGAATATGTTGGAAGCCCTTTTGGGCCGTTTGGAGACTCTTGGGCCGTCTTGGGGCCAGCCCAGTCCCCACACCAAAGCAGTGGGCCGTCTGGGGCCCTTCTGGACCCGAAAAAGGAAGAACCCGAAAAAACTGCAAAACCCTCAGGGAAATCCATGTTCTTGGCCTTCTCAAGCTCTCGGGGGCCCTCTTGAGGGCCTCTGGAGCCGTCTCGAAGCTTTCTTGAACCGTCCGGAGGCCATCTGAAGCTCTCTTGGGACCGTCTTGGGGACCTCTGGGGCTGGTTTGGGGCCCTCTTGGGCCGTCTTGGGACCCTCTGGTCGTTTCATTCGACCAAATATGACGAAAGCTGGCCATTACATCCCGTGCGCGCGCGCCTCGCCCCTCCCCTGGACTTCGCCCCACCAGAACGTCATGACTCGTACGTCTAACAGGCGGGGTCGGGTCGGGCGGGGAACACATCAAAGTGTGGGGCACGCTCGACCGAGCACGCGCGAACACTAACGGGCGGGTCGGGTCGGGCGGGCAAACCCCAGCGGGCGGGCCGGGTCGGGTCGGGCGGGCGGACCCTGACGGGCGGGTCGGGTCGAACGGGCGAAACATGAAAGTGTGGGACACGCTCGACAGAGCACGCGCGGGCGTTTCGGGTCGGGCGGGCGGACCCTAGCGGGCGGGTCGGGTCGGGTCGGGCGGGCGGACCCTGTCGGGCGGGTCGGGTTGGGCGGGCGGGACATTAAATTGCAGGGCACGCTCGACCGAGCACGCGCGAACCCTAACGGGCGGGTCGGGTCGGGCGGGCGGACCCTAATTAGCAGGCGGGTCGGGTCGGGTCGGACGAGCGTGCCCTAACGGGCGGGTAGGGTGGGGCGGGCGGGACATTAAACTGTAGGGCGCGCTCGACCGAGCAAGCCCGAACCCTAACGAGCAGATCAGGTCGGGCGAACGGACCCTAGCGGCTAGCGGGCGAGTCAGGTCGGGTCGGGCGGGCGGACTCTAACGAGCGAGTTGGGGTGGGGCGGGCGGGGCCGGCTCGGGTCGGGCGGTCGGACCCTAGCGGGCGGGTCGGGTCGGGTCGGGCGGGCGGACTCTAACGGGCGGGTCGGGTCGAGCGGGAAAGACATGAAAGTGTGGGGCGCGCTGGACCGAACACGCGCGAACCCTAACCGGCGGGTCGGGTCGGGCGGGCAGACCCTAGCGGGCAGGCCGGCTCCCGTGGCCTGGCCCACGGGTTCTGGCCTGTAAAGCCCCGGGGCCCAAAAGAAGAATCGTGACCTGGGTTTTGGCCTGTGGAGCTCTCGGGGCCCAAAGAAGAATCGTAACCTGGGTTTGGCCTGTGAGTTTTTTGGGGGGACCTTGCGCGTCGGCCCCTGGGCCCATCCGGGAGCGCGCGCGAGAGGGTGTTCCGCTGCTCCGCTGCCCCCGTGGCCCAGCCCACGGGTTCTGGCCTGTAAATATCCCGGGGCCCAAAGGAAGAAGTCATGACCTGGGTATCGGCCTGTGGAGCTCCCGGGGCCCAAAGAAAGAATAGTGACCTCGGTTTGGCCTGTAGAGTTTTTTGTGGGCCTTGCGCGTCGGGGTCCCGCCCAGGCCGTGCCGGGAGCGCGCGCGGGAGGATGCTCCGCTGCTCCGCTGCCCCCGTGGCCCGGCCCCCAAAAAGAATCGTGACCTGGGTTCTGACCTGTGGATCTCCCGAAGCCCAGCGGAAGAATCGTGACGTGGGTTTTGACCTGTGGAGCTCCACGAGCCCAAAGGGAGAAGCATGACGACCTAGGCCGGGCCACCTCCCGCGCCGCGCGCTCCCGGCAGGGCCCAGGACCCCGACGCGGAAGGCAAAAAAAACAGGCCAAAACCCAGGTCACTTTCCTTTGGGCCCCGGGAGCTCCGCAGGCCAATACCCAGGTCATGACTTCTTCCTTTGGGCCCCAGGAGCTCCACAGGCCAGAACCCGTGGGCAGGGCCACGGGGGCAGCGGAGCAGCGGAACACCCTCCCGCGCGCGCTCCCGGATGGGCCCGGGGGCCCGACGCGCAAGGCGCCCCCCAGAAAAAAGCACAGGCCAAAACCCAGGTCACGATTTTCCAATTGGGCCCCAGGAGCTCCACAGGCCAAAACCTGGGGCCCAAAGGAAGAATCGTGACCTGGGTCTTGGCCTGTGGAGCTCTCGGGGCCCAAGGAAGAATCGTGACCTGGGTTTGGCCTGTGGGTTTTGTTGGGGGACCTTGCGCGTCGGCCCCTGGGCCCATCCGGGAGCGCGCGCGAGAGGGTGTTCCGCTGCTCCGCTGCCCCCGTGGCCCAGCCCACGGGTTCTGGCCTGTAAATATCCTGGGGCCCAAAGGAAGAAATCATGACCTGGGTATTGGCCTGCGGAGCTCCCGGGGCTCAAAGGAAGAATAGTGACCTCGGTTTTGGCCTGTGTGGCTTCTTTTTGTTGGCCTTGCGCGTCGGGGTCCAGGGCCCGCCCGCGCTTCACAGGCCAAAACGATTTCTTTAGCCTGTGTTTTTTTTTGTTCTGGCCTTGCGCGTTGGGGGGTTTGCCTTGCGGGTACTCTCCGGTGGTAGTGGTGGTGGTGGTGGTGGTGATGGTGGTGGTGGTGGTGGCGGTGGTGGCGGTGGTGGAGATGTTTGGGCCCAGTTGCCTTCCACGTGAGCTCCACCGGCTCCCCAATGTCTGCTTTCCTGCTGCCTGGGTCCGCGGTCTGCAGAAAAAGAAGATCGGCATAAGCATAACCTTTCAGAGCTCCGCGCAGATTTCTTGGATCGGCGCAGAACCCCACTCCCTGGCGGGGCGCGCCAGGGGCGGCGCCAGAGACGCCGCTAGGGGGGACATGCGCGGATCCAATAAATCTGAGCGGACCGTCGAAACTTTATGCTGCTCCCGTTTTTTCTTCTTCGAGTCTTGGGGTCTGCCTCCACCAGCGCGGCCACCACGTCGATGCCGATGCTGCGCTCCAAAGCAGTGAAGGCGTCGAACCAGGCGGCCATGCTGTGCCGAAGGGTGCGCATGGCGCCCTCGGTGGCCCACTCGGGCAGCTCGACCTGCAAGCGCTTCCCCTGCTCCCGAGTGTCGACTATAGCACCCTCGTCGCTGAGCTCGAAGCCGTACAGGAACGCGGGGTACCCAGTCTGTACGTGCTTGTCCCAGCACGCTCTCTCGCGGCGAATCCACAGGAAATAGCCGAGAAACTCCTCCGCCATCAGCTGCGCGTGCTCCGCATCGCGGCCCCGATCAGGCCACAGGTGCGCGAGCTTCTTGTCCAGCACCCGGTGCCAAGGCTTCGCAGCAGTCTCACCAGAATAGTGGATGATCTTGATACGACTCGGGTCCGCAGACAGCTTCGTGCGCCAGCTGATCTTGACAAAGTCTGGGTGCAGAGCGTTGAACATCTGGTGCAGCTGGTAGTTATACTCGCAGCCCATGTGAGCGACGATCAAAAACGAGTCTTACGCGAGATGGCGTAGCGGCCTTACGCCGCAGCCTACGCGGGTCGCCAGCGCGGCACGCTGCATTGGAGACGAGGGTGCTTACGCGCAAACTTACGCGGGCAGCTTACGCGCCCATGTCGGCGCAGACGACCCCGTCTTTTTGCGTCGCTCATGTTGGTCCAGGGCGCGTCTGCCCAGTACCTGCTGAGGTAGTCCTGCTCCGGCCCGTTGCCTCGCACGTGGGCTGGGTGGACAGGTTCCTCGAGCTCTTGGAGCATGTCGGCCAACACCTCATCGCTGGGCTGCCACAGCATCACCCCAGCGTTGATGCCGGTGCCCTGGCCCCACGAGCTCGACTTGCCTGGCTGCTTCCCAGTGAGGATGGAAGAAAAAAAACACCATAAATACAAACTTTCGGAAGTCCGCGCGGATTTCTTGGATCGGCGCGGGACTACCCTCTCTGGCGCGCGGAGCGCGCCAGGGGCGGCGCTAGAGACGCCGGAACGGGGTCCCAGCGCCGATTAAGGAAATCTGCGCGGAGTTCCGAAAGTTTATGTTTATGCCGCTTCTCCTCTTCGAGAAGAACCTGCGGCCATCCAGCGGGTCCCCATGCCTAGCGGCCCAGTAGGATTCGTGCATCCCGCGCGACATGGCCGCCGGGGCGGGCAGGTGGAACAGGTCGTCCACGTTGGCGGTGACCAGCATGTCGATGTCCATCATGATGATTTTCTCGAATTCTACCAGACCCATGCCTGAGAGGGAACATGAGAGGAAGAACGGCACAAGCGTGAAATTAGGAAGGTCCGCGTAGATTCTGCAATCCAGCAAATCCGCACGAAGAGGGGAGGAAGGCAGCACGGGGTCAGACCTCCGGAGACTCGAAAATGTCGGCTCCCAAATTTATCCGCATTCTCAGCCTCCCGAAGCCGCGCTCGGGCCCCTGAACCGTCAAAGAGTATATCAGGGCGGAAAGCGGGACCCATTCAAAGGGTCGAGACGAATGGGGCCCCTTATGCTCGAAAGTATCAAGTTTTCGAAAAAAATCCAGGGGGGGACCGATTGGGGAAATGGGATCGGATCTCGACTTGATCGGATCGCAAGTGGTAATGAAGGAGGTGGGACCAAGGGAATCTCTCGCGTGGTAAAACTAATTTGCTTCGCCGTCTTCTGCCTCTGAGGCCAGTTTCGACCCCTTGGGACCGTCCAACAACGACTCCCGATGAAAAGCTCGCCGTAGGGAAAAATCTGGACATCACAGAAACCCGCACTGAAAAATCGGAACGTCGGATCCCTGAGGTGGTGTGCTGTGAGAAACGGGTCCTGGACCCAGGTCCCTCCCACGGACTGGCAGTTCATCCAAAGTCTTGCTGCGCTTCTTCGATGGCCCCCAGACCCAGAAAGGCCCAGAGGCGCCCAAAGCGGCCCCCATCAAATCAGGATCTAGGACAGGGCCCGAGAAGCCGAAGACGACGGAAAACATCAGAATCCATTTCCGTCAGCATTTCTTCGGGGGACTCCGCATTGAACAAAATCCGGAAATCGGATACCTGGGCTTGCAAACCGCCAAACAAACACAGCCGGCGCCGTGTGCGCACATCTCGCGGGGTCTGGAGGATGCCGGCTCGGCCAATGCCGCCCGGGGCTCTGCAAGGCGCAAAAGGTCCATCTACACAGAGTTTTTCCCTCAGCCCCCCGACCCCCACCGTAAACAGCAGTCCTGAAACCCCCATCGAACCGTGAGAAAAAACGACCGGCTGATTTCGGGCACTGTCGGATTCCGGGGGCACTTCGCAAGCTTAGAGGCCTTCAAAAACTACCCAGGATGAGAAGCCTCCCATGGAAAGAGCTCCACAGCAAGAGGGGGCCCGCGTCATGGAAATAACTAAAATTTTAAGTCTCTGGGCCCTGAAGACATGGATTGTTCGGTTTTCGTGGTCGTTGGTTTTTTCGGCCCCGTCCTGGACCATTGGCTTCGTCGCCGACGTGGGCCCGTCGGCGCCATGAGCCCCGAAACCATCAAAGAAACAGACCCACTATCGAAAAAAAGAGAAGCCCGTCCCTGAGAAGCCACTATGACCCGCGCGCAAGCCTTCAGCGCACCTCGCCAAGGGGCGCCAATCCCTAGGAGAGCTCCTAACGTCACCCCGAGGAACACGCATTCCCGCCGCAGAGGCGAAGGCTCAGACGCTCGCCGCGAACCCGAATTTCATGAGACAAGGTCCGCGGGCGCCACCAGCCCCCCAGGGTCGCGCTTCGACCTCGCTCACTGCGAGCTGCATTCCCAATCCTGGCCAGAAACCCACATGCCATGAGCCGTGATCTCTGGCCCCGCTCGAATTCGCATGGCAAGAGCTGCCATCCCACCGATTACCCCATGAGGTCGACGGTCCACTGCCACGATCAGCACGGTTCTGCCAACGCTTGTCGCCCCGATTGTCGACCCGAGCGTCGGCCCACCAACCGCTCGAGTCGCCCCGCGCATCTCTGCTAACACGGCCGCCTTCACCGGCCCTGCCCCACCCTTTTTCGCTTGCTGGGGGGGGGGAATTTGACAGCAAGAGCATCATCCGAGTGAGATGGTCACTTTCGGCAGCTTCGGCCCTGCCACCCGCGGCCTTAATGCGCGTTGCGGGCGGGCGGGTCGGCCGTCGCGGCAGCGCCGCGATCTCTAGCACCTGTCGCCCCCCCCCCCATAGCCAGCCGAGCTCGATCTAGACCCCAGGGCCCCCCTGAACGCCAACGGCGGGACGGGCGCGGGCACGACAGGCTCTTTCTCATCATCTGAGATTTCTTCCTCGCCTGCATCAGCCGACAAGAACATCCACGCCAGCATCCCACACGCCCCGACGTTTTTCTTTTTCTCCGCGGCCTTTGCTCGAGAATCAGAGCGGTCGCAAGGAAGAGGGTTGCCAGCTGCAGTCCGAGCTTCTCACGGGCGACCATCTCAGCATCGGTCAGTTGTCGGCGCAGCTTTCCTCCGCGCTTACCATCGCACTTCCCAAGGCTGAATGTCCAACATGGGGTCTTCTTTCCTGCGCCCCCTGTAGACGACTTTGCAACAGCTCTGGATGCCTGAGAGTTCCTCGAACCCTGTGAGGTCTGAGACGGCGCTTTCAATGTCTGATGCAAATATGCACCTCTTGGGCCAGAGGAAGCAGTTCGGCCCCAGCCACCTGCATCGTTGCTAGGCTTACCTGTCCGGTTACTGGCACATTTTTCCCCCCCCCACCAATATAGTTTTCGTGTTTGGCAACTTGTTTGTCACCGGGCGCGACGGCGCTCATCATGCTTGAACCAACACATGCCCCCGCCCTTGCTGTTTACGACCTGCTGAGTAATGCCTATGCACGACTTGTTTGTGGAATCCCATCCTTCATGCGCAAGCTCGTCAGCTCAGCCTTCGGTCGCGCAAGCGCAGCGAGCTTCGGGGTCCCACGAATCGAGTCTGCCAATCGTTCCCTGTTTGAGCTCCGTATATTTCTCGTCACTCGTATCTCGACTTGTTGATCCATTCGTCACCATATGCTTGCCTATCGACTCGTATACCTAGGCACTGTCACGGCAGCTATTCTGTTTGTTCGAATGACTGCTTCTGTGGAGATCACTGTGCATTACTTTCTGCTGGTAGCCTGCGATTCGCCAGATAGCCGACATTCCTTGACGAATGAACGTCTCCCTTGCTCCGATCGCCAAACCCTTGGGGATCCCCCACATTGATCTTTTAAACGGATGTACTCTTCACGACGTCGTCCGACATAGCCGCAATGTCACATTCGATAGATGTTTATGGACAGAGACACGAGCGCGCTGAGAAAAAACGCGCGCACCGTTTTCCGCAAAGACGACATCTGCGTCATATCATCACAATTGTCTTCAGTCCAACGCGTGCAGCGGCACGCGTGTAAGCTCTGAAGAGAGGCGGAGGGAGCGAAGGTAATGACGAAGACACCTTCCAAGAGACCCGATGTCCTGATTTAGGCTCGCAACGGGGTTCCCCAGAAGTCCCGACCTTTTCCCCGCGAAAGGCTGTCCGTCTGACGGCCCTGCGGCCCGAAACTTGCCCCGAGAGGCAGAATTCGGCAAAACTTCCGCCAATACTTCCGCCAAGACTTCTGTCAAGACGCTGGCTGTCTGAGAGGAGGTGGGCAGGCGCAGGGACTTGCCTTGCCAGCAGCGGGACATCCGGCACTCCCCCGCACCCGCTGCTCCTCGGACGCCGCGGCAAAGACGGCCGGGGCGTCCCAATCTCTTCGCCCCGGGCGTCTTCGCCCGGCCTCGGGCCTCCGAGCACCCCGCCGAGGCCGTGGGGCCCAGAGCCCGGTCACGATCTCGAGGCCTGCTCGCGCGGGATCTCCTGGAGGGGGGCGTTCGGGGAAAGCCAGTTTGGACGCCCGAAATGGGTACGGAAAGAATGGGTACGATGCCCAACGACAGAGGTTGTCCCAAACCAACAGCGGCCGCTGTTGGGCGGGCGGCCTTCTGTCTCGAATGGACACAGGCCGCGGCGGCGCGGACAGCGAGTCCTGTTCAGAACGAGCAGGAACTGCTGTTGGGCATCGTACCCATTCTTTCCGTGCCCCCTTCTTTCGTGCAGAGCCAGCGCCTCGGCTCTGTCAGTGTGCGGCACCCCGGGACCAATCGACCCCTTCCCCTTTCGGCGACTCCTAAAGGTGTGGCTTGCAACCCGCGCCAGGGGGGGGCTGGTGGGGACCTCGACGGGATCTCTGCCGCGCCCCGACGAGGGCTCGTCAAACCTTTGGCGCAACGTGGTGACCCCCTGAGCCCCAGCAGTGCCGATCGCAAACCGCACCCCGGCGTAACCCTACCCGTTACAGACGCCGACCCTTTCCCAAGAGAGCGTTATATTTGTTACGCGAGGATAGCGGCCGTTACCAGCCCTGGCCGCCCCTCCCCCTCAGGTAAGGTCACGACTCGTGCTGGATTCCGAGTTGGCCTCTTGGTTAACTTCCTAGACATTCCCGGACGGCGCCGGCGCAAAACGTGACAATTCGCCCCCCACCACTCGGATACACGCAAAAGTGACCCTAGGCAAGAGTGACCTTTGGTGCGCGGCTTCAGGGGGTGCGCGGAGGGGCCAAACCCGAGCGCGGAAGCCGCTGCTATCGCATCACATTCAGCCATCTGGGGACCCAGGTGTGCCAGCGTGCCCGCACTCAAGGTCACTCCCGTGAAAAGTCGATTCGGGGGCGGCAAAGAGGGGGGTGTCCAGGAGGGGGGGGTGCAAATCATGACCGGCGGCATGTGCGCGGCCCAGCGGGGGGGCCAGGGACGTAATGAAATAAGAAGAGGCGCCATGAGATCTGGGGAATAATCATGGCCCCCGCCATGATATCCACCCCCCCTAGTCATCACCCCCCTCTTTTCCGTCCCCGATCGATCTTACGTGTAGCCGATCCCCTCCCTACCGGGAAAGCCCGCTATCGGCAGGGAAAGACGCTTTCCAGAGGGCCAGCATCTCGTCCCGAGCTCGCGCTCGAGGGCCACAAGGCCCACTGCCCTGCCAGCCAGGGGGACCCAAGAAGAGGGCGCGGCGCGCCAGCCACCTCTCGGTCGTTTTTTGCGGGGCGGCGCGGGCCTGGGCGGCATCGTCGTCGTCGTCGTCGTCGTCGTCGTCGTCGTCGTCGTCGTCGTCGTCGTCGTCGTCGTCGGCGTCGGCGTAGGCGTCGGCGTCGGCGTCGGCGTCGGCGTCGGCGTCGGCGTCGGCGTCGTCGTCGTCGTGTGGGCGCCAG